CCCACTGCAGTCTTCTGACATGTTAATTGATTTTCAGCTGCAGCTCGGGGAAAAAACCCACAAGTTTATATGTGTCGCTAAAGCAAGAGTTTGGGATAAAACAGGGAGGCCCTGCAAGCGTTTGGGCAGGGCGAGGCAGCAGTGAGAACTTACACATCGGTACAATCCAGAGTGTTTGTGCCTCAGAGGGGCCTTGGTAAGCGCTCCAGCTCTGAGGTACCGGCGTCAGCCAACCACGAAACGCAAACGTGGTCAGGATTAGGTTTTGCTGGATGTGCCGATTATGGAAGCACCGTTATGTGTTGCTAAAGGTGACTGAGTCACATGAGAACTACAGGCAGCACTCTTCCCGGGTTTAGATCAGCTCTGACCCTGCCTGGGTTGTAAAGAGCCATCGGCATTATGCCGCCGCTCAGTCGTGTTACTGTCACGTTCGACAGGAACCAGAACAGCAGAGCCTTACTGCTAGAACACTGCCATCAAATTGGGCAGCTTTTGTGCTAACATGCGTACTTTTATGCAGTGGAAAATCTTTTCCACCAAAAAATAATCGTGACGTGTACTTTAAGTGAAAATACTTTTCGTAAGTTATCAGTTTTTACGTTTCTTTGCTGTGGCTAATCTTGAAAAGCTTACCTGAAGCAAAATAAGTTCTACTTTTTCAGGGATCAGCGATGGGCCTTCTGTTAGTGCATTAACCAATGGCTTTGACACTCCAGAAGAAAGGTATCAGAAACTTAAGAAGGTAAAGTATTTCACTAAAAGGAAAATGCTGGAAAAGAGGTTAGAACTGCTTAGTTCAGAATGGGCACAACGTAAAGAAATGTGATAAGAGTTCTGCAGAATTGAGTTTCTGCTAACAGAAGAGCTGAGGAGTGTTACCTGAAGCTTTCAGAAGTCATGGTCAGAGTTAGTAGATGTGTAGAAGTTGTTAAAGGATGTTGAGAGTGTTAAAATTTATCAGTTCACAGGGAGCCTGGGTAAGAGAAATTCGGTGACCAAGGAACTGCATCAGAACTAGGGTCCTTCCCAAACCACCTCCCCCTGCCAGCGGGTACTGTCCCTAACAAAGCTTAAGAACCAGCCGCCCCCACCACCTCTGGTTCTCTTCACACACGTGCACAAAGAAACGGTGATGGAGGGTGTGAAAAGAGTTTTGAAAAATGGCCAAATGATGACACAAGATAACATGTGGGCTCTGTGGGTCAGAAGGTCAAAACTGTGATATTTTGGGTTGCGGGTTTGGTATTTGGTTTTGGGGTGCTTTTATTTTATACTTTTCCATGACAGAAAGGGATCAGAAAATAGAAATGCGAAGCATCTCAGCACATGTTGTTTCCTGAAGTGTCCAAGGAGTGAATGAACGCTGTTTACTAATACTCTGTTAAAAGACATTGCAAGCTGAGGGAATTATTGGTTCATGCTCTTGCTGAGAAACTAGGACAACAAATGGCAAAAGCTGGGGGGGAGGCTGTAGCTAAAAAAAACCACCAACAAGAAAAGCCAACCCCCCCCACCTCAGACGCTAAAGGAAACTCTCCAAATAGGGACCGGTCTCTGAAGAGCATCCAGGAAGCTAGAGGGTGCCATGTTCTCATGTGGCTGAACGTGAGCCTTCGAGAGCTTCAGGGTAGCGACAGTTGAGGCTCTCGAGGCACAGTCAGTCTCTGCGGCTTCTTCTAAGAGGTCTGGTGTGTCAGTATCCAACCACATTCTTGGCTGTCACCTTTGAAAAACTTAACTTTTAACAGCTAAAAAATTAACTTGATTACTGATATTTTTGATCTTTATACTCAAAGATCATCTACCTGGGCTTGTGCAAAATATCTGACACCGTCCTGCACGACATCCGTGTCTCTGGCACGGACGGGGCTTTGAGCAACCTGCTCTGGTGGGTGGCAGAGGCTTGGAACTGGACAACCTCTAAGGTCCGTTCCAACCCAAACTATTCTGTGGTTCTAAGACAAGAGGATAATTTTGTATGTTTTGTTGCGACTTGTTTGCTGTGATATCATTGAATATTCCTGTATGTTCTTTGTGTTTAAAGTGGCTGTTGGGCCCTCAAGAGGAACAAGTCTTTCAATGAAACCACACTACTTGTTTATTTTCTCATATGCTTGCAGTGTTCAAAACCTCTCAAATATTGTTCCAACAATTGTGAAATACTAGAGGACGTGATGATCAAGTGCCTAGTGACCGTGCTAGTACATCCATGGTGTTGCCCACTGTTAGCCATGTGGATTAGAGGAATGTTAAGTGTATTATTACATATACTTGAACACTGTACACAGCCGGTGTCCCTCCCAGCCTGCTGCCACACCACGGGGAGCGTAAGTGAACGCTGAGACGGAGACCGACAGCTGCTTTAGATGCAGCGTCCTGAGCATGAGCAACAGATGGAAGGAGATGGGACTTCCTTCAGAACGGAAGTGCATACTACAAATCATCTTTGGCCAGGAGTAGGATGATTAAATGGGGATGAAAGCTAGTTGAAAAACTCTCGAGTGTGTACTTCAAAATTGCTAAGAGAACAACCATTGCTTAGGAAGATTCAGAGTTGTTCGGTTTTGAAATGGGGAGCAGTCGTATTTATTACAGATGCACGCTGGTTAGCTTTTAAATGTGTGCGACGTTTATTCTCATGCAAAGTTTTCCTTTCCTTTCCAGCATTCCATGGATTTTTTGCTCTTTCAGTTTGGCCTTTGCACTTTTAAATATGATCACACAGAAGAGAAGTATGTTATTCTCTTACTTCTTGTTTTCTTAATTGAGGAATTTATGAAGTAACATTGCTAAGCTATACTGACATGCAACTTATCTTTTTTACAGGTATATAATGAAGTCATTTAATTTCTATATTTTTCCAAAACCCTTTAACAGAAGTTCACCAGATGTCAAGTTTGTCTGTCAGGTTAGTAGGAGAACAGATTTGGTTTTGTTTGGTTAATGTGTACCTGCAGCAAACTCCTGAAAAGTATTTTCTGGAAAACTACATCATTGTAGAGGAAGAGGTGCCTCGTTCCTTTAACAGCTTAAAAGGCAGAAGAACGTACATTTCTAGTATTTGGTCTTTTTCTTATAGTAGAAATAAGCATCAATTAAGAGCAATCTCTCAAAATGAGGTTTAAGGGAGTACCTTTCACTTTAGGTTTTAAATGTTGTTGCACATTACATGTGTGGTTTCTGGCATGATGATTCTATGTTTTTTCTCTCCTTTGCTATCCGACTTCCTGCTCCCTTGCTTTTCCTGTTTCATCTTTTCTTCCCATCTGCTTCTCTCACTTTCACTGCTTCCCAGGCTATTGCCAGCATTTCTCTGGTCTCAGATTTGTTCTCCTGAACCACATTTTGCTTTATTTAGTTTCCTCTCTCCACATAGCTTGGTTTTTTTGTCTTTATTCCTTTAGTGTTTTAATTGTTCTTGTACTTTATGGAAGTTGAAAATAAATAGCAAAAGTAGCATAGCCTAAACTCTGTGGCTTCTTTAGGGTCACAAACTTGGTTGCTCTTGATTTTGGACTTCGTATAATTTCTTTAAAAGTGTAAAAATAACTGTATTTTGTGACACAGGTGCTTTTGCCAATTGTAAAGTTATTTTCTTTTGTTGCAGAGTTCAAGTATAGATTTTTTAGCAAACCAGGGATTCGATTTTAATAAAGTTTTTCGCAACGGTGAGTTGTTTTGGTTTGTTTTCTTTCCTGCATTGTCTGTAAAATTTAGGATGTGTTCATTTTCTGCTGGAAGAAAACCAGCCATTCGTGATACTCCCTTAACACATGATGATGTTTTTAGAATTACTATTTTTCAATCTACAGTTGCGCTGATAGCTACGCCCTTTCCAAAAATTCATTGTGTAGTTTCAGCAGAACAGAATTTCTGTTTAGACGTGTGTTTGGTTGTTTATTTTCATTTGGTGGCTAAACATAAATAGTGGACCAGGAGTAACATTTCAGAAAAGGTATGAGTGCTTTGTAGTAGGTGCCGCTGCAATCTCATATTAAGGTGATGCAGCTAGCAAGGAAGAGGAGTGCGAAATATTTTCCTGATTGTGATCTCCAGCTCGGCGGTTCCTGGACTCGTGCCCTGGGTAGATGAGGCATTTACCTCTTAAGAGTCCCGTGGTAGCAGCTGGTCTGGGCTGTGCTGGAAGGAGGCCTGTAGACACGAGAGAGGAACGGGGCCTAGAGCAGGTGCCTGAAAGGGAAGGATGTGTTTTGAGCCTTCACGGGTATAGCGCTGGCAAAGGCTTGGTTAGTGATAAGTCTTTGCTAAATCCTGCATCCCTGATGTATCTCTACTTATCACAAAATCACAGAACGTTCAGGGTTGGAAGGCACCTGTAGAGATCATCTAGTCCAACCCCCCTGGCACAGCAGGATCTCTTAGGACAGGCCATGATGAGCTTCTGAATGTCTTTTCTCTTTGGCTTTTTTTTTTTTTAAGGAATTCCATATTTAAATCAGGAAGAAGAAAGACAGCTGAGGGAACAGTATGATGAAAAACGTTCTCAGGCCAATGGTGCAGCATCTCTGTCATATGTTTCTCCTAATGCCACAAAATGTCCTGTAACAATTCCTGAAGATCAGAAAAAGTTCATTGAGAAAGTAGTGTAAGTAAAATTGTTTATTATAATCGGATGTTATGGAAACTAAAGCATAAACAATAGTGACATGTTCATATGTTGAAGCTATTTTTGTTCGTGTGTTGTGAAATAGTTCTGGTTTTTTGTGAAGTGTATTTTTGTATTGAGGGAGAGCTGTAAACGTCATAAAAAAGAAACAGTAGGTATAGAAGCAAATAATCTATTTCTTCCAGGGAACAGATAGAAGACTTATTAAAGAATGAAGAAAATGAAAGTTTGGAACTGGAGCCATGTACAGGGTCAGTTTCTGAAATTTTCTGTCTTCTAAAAAAATTACTTGCTTTGGCCATATGGAATTAGGGCAGTGACAAGGAAGACAAATAGCTTTACTTGGGTGAACTGTAGCAAAATCTACATTTGACTGATCTCTGAAGGCTGAGGAAACGTGGTCATTTACCTGGATCTCGGACTCTGCTATATGAGCCGTAGCTTCTGATTGTAGTGACAACACAGTTAAGTATAGCCAGGACTGTCTTACACATGTGAGCCTCCTTTTGCTATTGCTGATGTTGGATGTGCATTTTATAAATGTATTTCTCTTGAGCTGTGGGTTATTCACGGTTGATGCTGTGTATTGAAACTCCTTTTAGTGGGTCTTGTTCCCAAACTCTGTCTAGCTTTGGACTCCAGATGTTTGGAGAGTACTGTTTTTAAAAACTAAAAAAGAAAGAAAGAAAGAAAGAAAGTTAATTTAGAAATCAATACTAGAACATTGTAAAGTTGGGGGGGAGGTAACATCCCTGTGTCTCTATTCAGTAATTATGACTGCAGAACATTTGCTGGTGAGAAGATAGGGGGTTAACTGTGCAGAATGCCAGCTTGGCAACTGAGTATCAAGAATTCAGTATTACCCTTCCAGGCCTGTGGGTTCTGGTACAGTGTACCTACTTTAAAAATCTTTCTGCAAGAGAGCAAGGAGCTGACTTCAACTGAACATTATTACTGTGAAACACTCTTGTAAGAGGAGTACTAGTAACGCAATTGTCTTTTTATTTTAGATTTCAGAGGAAATTAATTTATCAGACCTTGAGCTGGAAGTAAGTTACTGGTAATACTGCCTTACTGTATATTTTTAGTATTTCTGATAAGAAATCTAGGTAAGATCTGATTTATTTAACCTCAGAGGTGATTCATGTAGAGGTTTTTTTTTTTTCCTCTGAGAGGACTTTCATAATGATCTGACAAGATAAATTGCGTTACACTGGTTTGTAATGACTCATTTGCGTATTTTAAAGCTTAGTATTTATTTTATCATTCCTATCTAAAATCTGTGACTAGATCAGCACAGCCTAGAATTATGTAACAAATGCAACTTGACAGGTTTGTAGCGAATAGAAAGTGCACGTGCGTGTAGTGATTGTGGGCTTTGCTTGAAAAACTACTAGGTCTATAGTAGGTACTGGTATGTTTACCATTTTCTGTTGGATGACAAATACAAGCATTTCTGATGACTTAAATCCTAATTCTGGCAGTAATTCTTTTTCCCTTTTCTTGGCCTTATCCTTATCTTTGTTAAATAGATCCTTTAAGGCCTTTGGAGAAACTGTAAGGTCGTAGAAATGAGTTTTTCATTGTTCTGACTGCACTAGTAAAATACGGAAAATACAGTAAAATACTTGCCCTGGAAGTGGAGAAAATAAAGCTCTCTCTAAGGTGGAATCTCAAGAAGTGAGACTGAAAGCAGAGATTCGAGATTGTGATGCAGTATCTGGGTGATATTTACTTAATATTACTACAGCAAGAAGTTACAGGTTGCACAGCAATAGGATGGAAAATTGCTTAAGAAAAGACATTTTAGTGCAAGTTACTGTTGGGCAGTGTAAGGATGCCAATTTAAGTAGCCTGTTGCTTCAAATTTTCTGTTCCTTTAAATTAAAAAGGATGTTTTAGTAGTTCTTTTACACTTAAGACCTAGAGAGTAATAATGAAATATGAAATTACTGAATCACTGTTGTGGTTTCAATATGCCAAATGCCAAATTAATAACTTGATAGTCACTTTTCATTTGTTTCTGTGTAGGTATCCAAAAGGTATCCATGTTGAAACCCTGGAGTCAGATAAGGTAACTGATCATGTTACTGCCTGTGGCGTTTGTTCTGTTAAAAGGAGATTGTATTTCTCAGTTTTACCAACTTGTAGTTCTAACTTCAGCTTTGTTATGCGAAGTACAAAACATTTGAAATACAATGAACTAGTTTCTAAACATTAAATCTAACCAACGTGAAGTGTAAGCATTTGTGTGGCTCCATATTTTTTGTTAAAAGGATACTAAAGGGTGTTTTAGGATGTAGTGGATCTGATGTTCATTATTGCAGAAAAGTAGATCTCCATCTTAGAGGGAAATAGAGGCATCACGTGCTGTATCCTCACTTCCCAGCACAAACCTCTGCTTCAAAATATATTTCAAACCCACTATTTACAAGGAAAGGCTGATGACCTTTCCTCAGAAGTAAAAAGTGGATTTAGTAAAAGTTGGGTTTGGTGGATGAATCTAATACAGCTTTTTCAAGTAGGCCTTTGGGAGCAGGTGATGTGGTGGTGCTTGCAATGGGAACAGTCATGTCACCAAGTAGCTGTTGCTCCATTTTCTTCACAGTGTAAGTTTACAGACACTTGCAGTGGTCTTGACTGACTCATTCCTGAAACTGTACATTTTTATTTTAGAAGGAGAGATACATTGTTATTAGCAAGGTAGATGAAGAAGAACGGAAGAGAAGAGAACAGCAGAAGCAGGCCAAAGAACAGGTGAGTAAGTTCATTTCATTAGTTCCCATGAAAGAGGGAGGGGGAGAATCTGTGACTTCAGTCGGCCGTACAGAGCGGCGCGATGGGGTTGGGGGGTATTTCCTTTTCCTTTGGCCGTAGCTATTGTCTGATCCTTCAGATTCTGCCGGATAGCTTAGGCTTTGCAATAGAGCGAGAAGAGTTGCAAGATGCTACAAAATTTTAAGGAATGAGTAATTGTAGAATACTCAACCAATATCCTGGAGCGGTGAATTCCTCCTTACGTGAGTCTGCTCTCTCCGAGAAGCACGGTCTAGAAATAGGAGACATCAGTTGATTGTATTCATTAGTGCTGTGTAACAAGTGGTTGCAAAAGGGCTGGCAGACATTCGCAAGCAGGTTTTCACGTTATTTGGATTCACAGTCTGTCCTTGGAGTAGTACTTTGTTACAAAACTTGCTTGTTCCTACTTGCCTGAGTTAAAGTGTTCTGTACAATTAATGTGTCATCTGACTTTTCTTGATAGAAACATGGTGCACAGGGCTACTGCAGCAACACCTTGGCTGAAAAGTCGTGTCTGATATGTTCAGGCACTCCCGTAGTTTTGTATGAAGCGACTGGTTTTGCTTGCAGAGTCTGATGCAAGTTTCAAGAAGTCATAGGATTTGAATTCTCGGAATTCTTAGTCACACTCTTGTGTTTTTTTGTGTTTCAAGATAAAGTCAATTTGGCTGGAGCAAATAATACTTGCAAGCAGAATGCCTTGTGAGGGACAGAGATGTCTAACAGAGACCTCAACTTACTTGACATCTCCTTTTTCCAGGAGACAAGTTAGGAACAATTTGCTACTAGAGCGGATTTTTTCCGAAGCAGTTTTATAGGTATAGTATTCGTTGTGACTAGTGGCATTCAGGACTGAACTAAATCAACAGTGAACATTTTACTGAATTTCACTGCTGGCTGAACAAAGACAGATAATACAAGGCAGAAATTACTTCTCCAGACCTGAAAAGCAACAATCTGTTGCAAAAATGAAACGAAAATAGATGCTGTACTCGGATCCTCCCAAACCAATCTAAGTCAGTTTAAAATGTGTAACTTACATTCTAGAATATTGTATTTGTATAATAGTTTTTATTTTTGTTTATATAAATAGTGAAGAATGTTTCTTCCCCAGTCTCAATTTTAGCATAAAAACACAATCTGATTTAATAGAAATAGCAATCAGGATTCAACCTGTTGCATTTTATAACAACATATATAAAAAAAATACGGCTGAAGATATGTAGCTTAATTATACTATTTTCTTAAGCTGTTCGCAGTCCAATGGCTGTTGAGCACTGTTGAAGTTAATGTGTAAGACAGTGACCTGGCTCCATATAAACTGGAGTTCTGTCAGCAGCATCCTGCTTTGACCTCAGGTACCTTCCAAATGCTGACATTGCCTCTGTGCTTGGTTATGTCGGAGAAATAGCTGGAACCACGCTGGCATGGCTGCCGGTTGGCAGGGACAGCTTTGACAATATTTGTGTTTGTGTCACTGATGTCAGAATCTTTGCTTACAGGAAGAATTGAATGATGCAGTAGGATTTTCCAGAGTCATTCATGCCATTGCTAATTCTGTAAGTTAGCGTGATTTTTAATGTACGTTTCGTTGTAAGAAAAAAACCGAATCGATTCAAAGACAGAATTCTTTGCTGTTGCATTTTGGAAGATAAGATCAAATGCAAGTTAAACTGGCTTTTTTCTTTTTTTTTAAGTTGATGTCACTTCATGGCAACGGTTGAGTGTGTTAAGTAAGCTCTTGCACCACTGACATGAACAACCTCATTATCTGTAAAAGTCAACTATACCGATTTCTTAGGGCTCTTAACAAGATCATCTGAACTACCTAAGCTTTGAGGGCTTTTTCTCTCTGTCCTGGAAAGATTGTTGGTTTTGGTGGGTTTTTTTTTGTTGTTTTTTGTTTGTTTGTTTGTTTCTGGCAGTTAAAAGCTTAGTCAGAGAAGGTCACCCTGTTCATCTCTGCTTACATAGTTAAAATAGGCGGTAGCTTTACACCTGGTCCCTTCAGCCGCATTATTTTCAGTCGGTTGGTGCAGCCTGCTTTTCCCACGTTGCCCTTGCCATGGCTGTGGTTGGACGTGTAACTGAGGTCTGATGTTCTCTTCCCAGGGCAAACTTGTTATTGGGCACAATATGCTGCTGGATGTAATGCACACCATACACCAGTTCTATTGCCCCCTGCCTGACGTAAGTAATCTCATTGAGAACTCAGTTGATGAAGTAAATGTCTTAATGTATTCATCTTTAGTCTTGTCTCCAGACTTTCTTGTGAATGGATTCGCATGACAGTCTATAAAGAACACCAGAAAGTATTTTAAAAAGAGCACTTGTTACTTCTGGGTTTCTGCGCTATTTTCTTACATGTTTTTATTGAAAGCTTAGTTGGGTTCAATTCTCCTTCCCTTTTTTAAAATTAAACATTACATTAGAGTTGTGGTTTCTGCTCATATTTGTTAGTCCTTCAGAAACTGATTTGATAATGGCAGGTAAATTTGATGGACTTGGTTGTTAAGGTACTGATTTGGGGTCTCAGTGTTACTGTGCGCATTTTTTCTCCCTGCACTTTACAAAGTGGAAATACGTGTTTTCATGTAATGTACTACGATTACTAGAAAGCTAAGAACTCTTGTAGCAGGGTGGTGTTCGCTGGAGTGAAGCGGTGCAGTGTCCCAGGAATCGGAGGGGCACACTCTCAGGCCTGCAGGAGGACAGCTGGTACCCGCAGCAGTCGGGCAGTTGAGTTAAACCAAGTGATGCGTTGGCACTGAGGGTGTTGTCTGAAGAAGCTGAGGGTCTCGTTGGAAGGATGACCCACACTGTGGGTTAGAGTACTTCGGTCCTCAAGGGCTCATGGGTGTTACAGGTTTTGGGACCTGTTTGGAGGGTGGGGCCCATAAGCAGTTCTCAGCTCTTCCTGTGCTTTCGCCACTTGGAAGATCTAAACGTGCAGGCAGTCAGCTGTCCTCCTGGAGTGGCTGCTTGTGTGGCACTGACATCGGAAGTGCTGGGGACATCTAAGTTAACACGGCTGGAATTAGAGGTCCTCTAGGTTATATAATAGGATGGGGGATTGGGTGTGATAGAACATTTCTCTTGTGAATCACAGGCAAATCAAATAACTAGTCTGTAGTTCCGTGTAATTGCAGATGTTATTTATGGTAATGCTGTCAAATATATCTCTTAGGAGGTGAGAATTCAGTCACTGTGTCTCAGTTTTAGAAGCTGATTGAACAATTGTAGTTACTGCTATGAATCATCCTGAGACTGATAAACAGTTAATTTATTTGGATTTTGTCTTCTGGTTTAATGTTAAATTAGGACCTAAGTGAGTTCAAAGAAGTAACATCCTGTGTCTTTCCCCGGTAAGTTCTTAGTTCAAACTTTCAACTCTTTTAGTATTGTTTTAGCAGGCTGGCATTGCTTGTCCTAGCCCTGTAACCCAGCTGTTGCTGGAAATAAAATTGGGAACGAGTTCGATAAACGGTTCTCTAGCATGGTTTTTGCAGAGGAGCAGTGGTATTGTTCTGCTTCCTGGCGAAAGAGGCAGCTGCCGCCTTGTTGTTGGCACGATATTTGGTATTTTGAATCTGCACTACATTTGGAACAAGATTTATTCACTCCTGCTTACTGTTCTCCCTTTTCGTGCAAGGATTATTTTGGCTGCTCTAAGATCTGAGCGTAATTCTTACCTAGGGTGAAGCTGCTGTTTCCCAGCTAATACACTAAAACATTGTTCAATCTACTCATCAGGACGTGCCCAGTGGCAGCCAAGAGGCAGTGGGGACGGGCTGGGACGCAGGAAGTTCTGTCTAAACTCCCTTCATCATCCGTCTAAAGTCCCTTCATCATCCTCGTAGAGCTACGAGGATGATGAAGGGACTTGAACATCTCTTCTCAGTGGTGCCCAGCAATAGAACAAGCAATAATGGGTGTAAGTTAGAACATGGGAAGTTCCACCTCAACGTGAGTAGAAGCTTTTTCCCTGTGCGGGTGCCGGAGCCCTGGCCCAGGCTGCCCAGAGAGGGTGTGGAGTCTCCTGCTCTGGAGACTTTCCAACCCGCCTGGATGAACTCCTGTGTGACGCGCTCTAGGCAATCCTGCTTTAGCGGGGGGGTCAGACTAGGTGATCTCTGGAGGTCCTTTCCAACTCCTGCATTGTGTTATTTTTTGGAGGATTTGGCAAAATGAACGTTCTTCCATTTCAGCTCACTTTGCTATTACTTTGTTTCTAGGCTACTGGATACTAAACTGATGGCAAGCACACAACCTTTTAAGGTAAAATACTATTATAGAGTGATTTGAAGGTACAAGTTTGCATTAAATGTGTATTGAAACAAGCTAATTTTAAAATTTTTTTTAAAGAGAAATGTCTAACAATGTTTTCTGTGATGCACCTTTTTTGTAAAATAATTATTTTTCTTAACTCCTTATCTAAACTTACAACATTTTCAGAATACGAATTTTTATTCTTGTATAAAAGTGACTTTTAGGTGTTGCAATTTTAAGGTAACTTAGTGACTTCGAATGCCAAAATATGTACAGCTTTTGTTACTTAAAATGTGGTTAGACAGACTTCCCTGGGTTTTTTGAAGTTAGGCCATATATAAATCCTTAGAGAACACAAGGTGGCAGCAGTAAATAGTCCTTTTATCCTATTTGATTTTAGTTTCAGGGAAGATGTGCTTGACCTTGGCAGTTAATGGTGTTTTTTCTTGCAGGAGATCATTAATAATACATCCCTTGCAGAACTGGAAAAGCGTTTAAAAGAGGCTCCATTCAGCCCTCCTAAAGTTGGTAAGGATATCTCAAAATGGTCTTGTTTCTGAAATGTTTTCCTCTTTCAGAGCACAGAAAGTACGTTTATTATTTTTGTTCTTGGTCTGACGTGTTAGTTCCCCTGTTAATACTTCGTATTTTGATGAAAGGGGCTTTAAATGCCGGCGGTATACATATGGTACAGCTGTATTTAGAACTATTAGTGGGAGTAGGAGTCCTTCCACTTCATTTCAGGTAACAGAAGAGTGGATATATTCAGTGAACAGCAGTTTCAGCGCCTTCTCATGAAGGTGTTTTGCTTTTTTAGGTTGCTTTTTGATGAGTAACTTAAAATTGTTTTAAAACCGTATCGTTTTGTTATTATCGTCTGTCAGATCAAAGCCAGAGCACTCTAATAAGCTCTTGGACAAACTAAACCGAGCAAACTTACACAGTAGTGACTAGTGATGTGTGTTCTAGAATTTTTTAAGTTCCTGTAGAGCTCTCTTTGCTTTATGGTGAATGAACAGATCTTTACTCCGAGGGCAAGCTGACCTCAGTTTTTCTTACGCTGCCAATTTAGAAGCGGGAGGACGGTACTGAGCAGTAGAGTATGTTGGGAGGGGAGGTCTTAATGCTTCCTCAGAACGGAGATATTGCTGAATATGCAGAGCAGGTGCACTTAAGCTGTAGTAACAGTGGAGATATTAAAATGGATAATCTACAATCTTCTTAGACAGTGAGCAGGGGCTGTTGGGTCCTTGGCCCGAGTAGTGCCACGCGTATGGAGTGCACAGTAGTTGCACACACACCTTTTAGTGACATATCCCCTGTAGCTTCTTCGCAGGATGAAACATGGTTTGGCAGCTGTCATCTAAAACTTTTTGCTGAAGTAATATAAAATAATAATTTTACTTTTTTTTTTACTTCAGCACCGTAAAGGTTAACCAGCTCAGAGGTGTTGGTGTTTGATCAGAGATGATTAATGTGCTTCAGAACATCCTAAGCAAAGCATTCTTAAAAGCTGCTCTTTTGTGTTTTCTTGTGGATACGTATCTATAAAGAAAAATAAAAATCAAGCAATAAGAAGTGTCGTTTGCAACTCAGCAAGTATAGCTTAACATTGGCAACTTTATTTGTAAAAAAAACTTTACAAGGCCTAATCTGAAAAAATGGCCTGATATTTTGCTGCTATAGTTTCATATATGAAATTTGGATGCAACTTTCTTTTTACGAAATAGAACAAGTATATATGCTTAGATATTTCCATTATATAAGTTATGCAAGTATTTCTGTATTACTATTTTAAATCCTGGGTCTGTTTCATCACTGTTTTTGCTTCTTTTGCTAGTTTGAATGCAATAAATTAAATGGAATTACAGAGTTCACTCTTCAGTCTGTACCTTAATGTAAGGGTCATGATTCTGGCTTTTTAAACAGTTAATTTTATTCTTCCAGTTCTATTCTCAGTATAACTCCTAGAGGAAAACGTGCCAGCATTCTAGAGGCTGAGAAGCTAGCTGCAGAGGTGAAATAACTTGGGTGTTGGGAGTGGGAAAAATTTCAGAGATTAAGACAATTGTGATATGCCCATACGTCTTTGTTACGGAGGCTTGGGCACTTTGGGAAACTTCTCTTCAGAGAAATGCTTATTAAGGTTTCCACTTCCAGGGGTGATTCAGGGGGTACTTTTCAAGGTCTTCGTGAAAACACCAAGCATGACTGTCAATAAAGTTGTCAATAAAGACATTTTTAGTCACTTAGTTCTGTCTTCATCCTTTCAATGCCTTGGAAAATCTGACCATAGGTCAACTGGGTCATTAACAAACAGGTTACTAGAGTTTTCAACTAGCCTGAGTGTCTGTTCTTTTAAACACAAGACAGTCAGGAAAAAAATATGCTGTGTGGGGAATCCTACAGTCATTTTGGTAGGGGTAATACTCTATTTTGGCTAAGTAGGTCTGTGGTTTAATAGCTCTTTAACAGGAAGCAGTTTCTCTCCTAGGAGCCTATTCTTATTTAAAAATGTAAAACAAAGCTGTACTTTTTTTCAGAACTTGTGAATTTTCAGAAATTCTGAAAAATCATATAAACTTACCCAAATGATATGCCCTGACAAAATAAGTGTGTGGGTAAGCATACAAGGCTGCCTTTTTAAATTCTGCTATTTTTTTCTCCTCAGAAAGTGCAGAAGGATTTCCAAGTTATGATACATCTTCTGAACAACTTCATGAAGCAGGATATGATGCTTACATTACTGGACTGTGCTTCATTTCCATGGCTAATTTCCTAGGTATTTAGGTAGTCTTTTCCAAACATTCTCCTCAGTGCTGTCTGTGGCTTTTTATTACAAACTGCATTTCTTTTTCATTCATCAGGAACATTCCTCAGTCCTCCGAAAAACCATGTATCTGCTAGATCAAAACTCATTGAACCCTTTTTTAACAAGTAAGTGGTATTAAAAGACCTGCTAAAACATGGAAATAAAACACTAGCCTTAGAATTTAGCTTCAGAATCAGTGGCTATAACTGCGTTTTATTTCACACTTTGGTTTTGGTTGACTTTCTGGTTCACGCTAGTAATGCTGCAGAGAGGGCGGAGTTTGTAAAGGAAATACCTTTTCTTTTGAAGAGAATGGCTTACTTTCTGCTGACCTGTGAGAGACACGTGGAAGAGCACCTGGACTGAGATAATGGTCTTGGCCATGTCCATGTTGGGAGTACATTTACGATTTAGAAAACTATTTCTGGAGTAAGCTTTGGGAATAGCTAAAGAAAAACTGGTCAAGTGTTCTTTATGTTGTAGGACACTGTCAGAAACTGGTGATAGTTAAAACTGAGTACACTAAACAGTCTGGAAAAACTAAAATATTCCTACTGTTTTGTTATCCAAATAACAAAAAGCTAATGTGTGAACATTGTCAGGTAACCCATTTTTAAGAAGGCTTCATAAACATATATGATAAGGAGTTTATGGGATGATGCTATGATCTGTATTTTGCTTTTGAATTGGATCTTCATACAAATTACTTGAATGAATTGAAGTAAAGCATGAGAAATCTAGAAGTCTCTATGCACAGATTTGATCCTTTGCATATTTAATGTATAGATTTTACCTTATGAAGCTTCTGAAGATAGTATAACCTGTCAAATAAAGGGGAAGGAGTTGAAGTGAAAAAGCTGTTGGTACTTTACTCTGTCTGTTGGTTTGCTTAAATCGATTAGAAATCTCATCCTTTTAAACCTTGTCATGTAGGAGTTGACAAACTTATTTTAGTGTCGGATTGCCCGCACAAATGAGGGAATAATCGTGATGAATGACTTTTGGCTTTCCTTGGTCTGGAAACCAAATTACTATAGTGACAGCTGTTAGGTGATTCTGTTGACATGGAGATGTTATAAACTGTATGTACATTCCTTAGAATCATTCAGGCTGGAAAAGACCCTCGGGATCATTGAGTCCAACCATTAACTCTACTCTACAAAGCTCAGCCCTAAACCATCTCCCACATCTCAACGACCTTTAAACAACCCCAGCGATTGGGCCTCAACCCCCTCCCCGGGCAGCCTGTGCCAATCTCTGACTGCTCTTGCTGTGAAAATGTTTTTCGTAATGTCCCGTCTAACCCTGCCCTGTTGCAATTTGGAGCCATTTCCTCTGGTTCTATCGCTCATTGCCCGTGAGAAGAGACCAGCCCCAACCTCTCCACAACGTCCTCTCAGCCTCCTTCAAACTCAACAGCCCCAGCTCCTTCAGTTGATCCTCATACGATTTATTCTCCAGGCCCTTCCCCAGCTCTGTCGCCCTCCTCTGCCCTCGCTCCAGCCCCTCGAGATCTCTCTTGGATTGAGGTGCCCAAAACTGGACACGACACTCAAGAGGTGGCCTCACCAGTGCCGAGCACAGGGGGACAATCCCCTCCCTGCTCCTGCTGGTCACACCATTGCTGACACAGGCCAGGATGCCGTTGGCTTTCTTGGCCACCTGGGCACCCTGCTGGCTCGTGTTCAGCCCCTGTCGAAGAGAACCCCCTGGTCCCTCTCTGCCAGACAGCTCTCCAGCCACACTGCCCCCAGCCTGGAGCGTTGCTGGGGGTTGTTGTGGCCCAAGAGCAGGACCTGCCCTTGGCCTTGTTGCAGCTCACACCAGTAACACCGGCCCATCGATCCAACGTGTCCAAGTCCCTCTGCAGGGCCTCCCTGCCCTCGTGCAGATCAACGCTCTCACCTCACTTGGTGTCATCTGCAAACTTACTGATGATGTACTCTGTGTCCTTGTCAAGATTGATAAAGTTGATTGATAAGATTGATGGATTGATTGGGACTGCTTGGTCTGATAGAACTCATCAGCACAGTTTCATTTTACGATGAGGTTTGTCACAGAGTGGTTTTCGGCACACACACATGCCAACTAGTAGACGCCAGTTGAGGGGGTTATTTTTGTCAGTCGTTACCATAATGCTTTCAGCTCTTTCTAGAGATGCATATCTGCAACAGGTACAGACCAAAGCTTCTGAAACTGTCACAATATTATGTTAAATTTAAGCTTCTTAAGTTAATTGTGTGCTTGAAATATGACAATGTGGTAACATGGACATTTCACAGTTTTGAGAGGAAGCCTGCCACATCTGTTCTGGCTTCAGAGTTAATGCTGCATAACTGAAACAAAAGGAAGAGTTAACAGAAAATGTGGGGAGTGCAGCAGCTTTGGTTTGTTAAGCAAGAACTGAAAATTACTGCTTCCAAAAAAACCAAAGTTAATCATTATTGAGAACATATCTTCTTATTTGAGAAAAGCGATGGATTATTTTTAAATCATGGAAACTTAGAAGACTTGCTGTGTCTTACTTTCACATGATTTTAGAAACTTTGCCATATTCTAACTAACATTTGCCACCCCTGAGTCGGAGCTTGGAGATGACTGTCTCACCCTTTACTTACAGTGAACAGGCCAAGGCTTGTATTTGTAAAACTTTTTTTTTTTTACGCTAATGCAAAATTACAAGCTAAAATAAGACAACTCTGTTTTTTAAAATATTATTTAAGAAAAAAAGAAAAACATTCAAGTACATGTCAGAAGTCAGAGCTGTTAGACATTTGTTGCTTTGTTCAGTACGTCCTTGCAGACCAGATCTCTCAGCACTAGATCTGTTTAGCTCCTGTGAGTAGCACCCGGGCTTGGGCAGTTTACGTAGTTAGCGTAAGCTCCCTAGTAAGTACGTTGCTACACGTAGTTTTCTCTAGTTTGTGGTCTAGAAGCTTTCCCTAGCTGAGCATCCTCTCTTCCTCCTGGGAAGAAAAAAAAACTGTCTTCCTCCTTCCTCCAGAAGTTCTGCCTGATCCTGTGGGCAGCAGTTAGATACAAGGAAACGTTTTCCTTTGTGCTGTAGTCATGTTGGTCAAGCAAAACACAAACTGCAACAGGCAAACAGTATGAAAGTTACTGTCACAAAAGTTTTTCCTGAAAGCAGCTGAGCAGGCATTTATTTAGAAGCGGCATTCTCATTTTGAACGATTATAAAGGTAGTCTGGAAAATGTTCTTTAAAGCAGACCACTTTATGATTCTTTGGGTTGATTGTAAAAGTCTTAATTTCAAGATCTTTGCATCCTAGGTGTTAATATTTAAATACAGTTTAGAAATTAAAGTTTTACATGACTGGTATGACCGATAGGAATTTGGAGATATTTTTGGTTTGAATAGACCTGTCACTAACGTGAATAAATTTAGAAACGAAGAATGGAGTTTTGATTTTTACAAACTTAGCCTTCAAAGGAGGCTAATACTTTTTTCAGTAGTTATTTTGACCTCTTCCATTATGTCAGCAAAGTTCTGGGACTCCCTGGCTTGCTTTTCAAGAGTGGTGGCCAGCACGTAGGTCAGTGGGGTCATACAGGTTAATGGTGAACGTAGGTAAAATCTTTAGTTTCAACTTCTTGTAAGAGTGGAACTGATTAAACTAACTTGGCCTTGGAGTTGTTTGAGTCTTTTAAGCATGATGCAGTAAGGTTTGTGATAAGGAGCTTGATCAACCAAGAACCCCAGAGATGCATTTCTGTAATCTTTATGCTTCATTGTATATACAGCACCTTTGAAAAATCATGTTCATGTGAACAACCTGCTGGGAGTAATCCTCAAGAGTTGAGATGATCCGCTCAAGAGTTGAGATGATCAGACTGCTCATACTCTGATATCTGAACGTCTCCGTGTGTAATTCGGATGCTGTATTGTGTTACATACGTCACAGCTGACTGGACATTTTTTGGACTGTTTTGTTTAGAGCAACGTCTCTCTTCTTCCATACCTCCCTGTCCCCACACGCAAGCCCCTCCCAAACTTAAGGACACCTTTATTTTGGAGCTCTTGGGATTGTTTGAGTTTTTTTTTGATGTAGCTAGAGGTGTAGGGGGTGAAAGAGGTGTAGAGAAATGGAAGCACAATGGCGTGATGGTCTGTAGAAATACAAGTTATCTTTAGAAATACTTGTTTTCATACAAATGGACATCAGAACCCAAAATTTGTGCCCATAACTTTGTTTGGTGTTGTATTTGCGGAAGATCTCACAGGGAGCTAGGTTCTCTGGCAGGTATTGCAATTAGTTAATTGCTCCCTCTGCTTTTGTCTGTTAGTTTAATTTTCTTTGCAGTTTTGGAAAAGAGCAGCAGTGTGTTTTTCTATGGCTCGACTAAGAATTTTTAAATCGCAGTGTAGGAATACGGAATTGCTGTCCTTGTGCTTTCAGCCACCTGTGACTGTACTAACTAGTTAATGAGCTGGGTGGGTCAACTGATCGGGGCTTAAGAAGATGCCTTATCTTTTTGCAGCTGGATCGGTTTCTCTGCCCGGTTCATCACACAAAGTGCTATCTTTCCTCCCAGCTCAGTGCAGAGGAGGAATGTTGACCCCCTGACGCTGTTTCTGCGTGCTGGGAAGCAGTGCGATCGTAGCCGGGCTCTCCTTGCTTGCCTGGCCTTGCCTTGCCACAGAACAGTTGTCACCCGAGTGGCTGTCTCAAGATATCTCCAGGTTACTGGGATATTCTTGTATTTGGAGAAATAGACCTTTCCTCTGACCACGTGAGCTGGCTGTAACCTCTAAACAGTGTAGGAAATAACTTTTTTCTTTTTTTTAGCTTGGTCAGTATAGCTTTTGAAAAATTGCAAATTAATGTAGTGAAAAGTAATGTTATCGCTACAGCTTGGTGAATCTCGCTAATTTAATATAGAGTAGGGTTCATGTTGTTGTACAGAACAACCTTATGATTTTAATTTTTTTGCAGCTAGATGAGGAATCTTATAATTAATGGGTACTTAAGTGTGGAGTATACTGCAATTCTGTTCATAGCCTGTGTGATGTCAGTTAGTGCTACAATCTGCGGTGACTGTTGTAACGCACTTTAAGTGCACTTTATTTTAAAATCAGTACTGAGGCTATCTCTTTAGGCAGGGTGTGTGTATGTACTATTTAGAGACGTGGTTCTTTGACCAAGCAAATAAATGTAGGATCTGTCTCAAAGGTTAAAAACCTGATCTTGACTGATCTCAGGTATATGCATCCCTTTTGGCACGAGTATGTTCCTGCAGTTGGCCACATAATAAAACCTGGGGCAGGGCAGGTTAATCAGCATTCTCTCCAGAAGTCTTCGCTGTATTTTTAGTAAACTTTTTTTTTGTGAGAACTGCTACCTAGGGCACAAAACTAGTGGAAGGATGTTTTTTCTCTCTTTCCTTGCGGAAGCTGTGTTCTGGAGCTGCCGTCGTTCCCGCGCTGTCAGTCCCCCAGGCAGCTCTGGTGCAGCTGGGGCAGTAGGGCAGCTGCTCCTAGGCTGAACAGGAAGAGAAACTTGCTCTTTTATCTCCATTACTCAGCTCTGTGCTGGAAGTGTTCGAGTTTCTAAAGTTAATTGATGCTGAAGTTTGTAACTTTTGCTGATGAAATTCTTTTTAGGTTCTGCAGTGCTCAGGGGAACACAGCTCAGACTGTGTCTTCCCCGCGACTCGGGGACATGAGATGGGGCAGTGAGTGTCAGAATTGGTGCCAGTTCTTTGCAGCCCCTCTGACTAATATCTAAACCACATGTAAAATATGTAAATCATACGGTCCATGACCCCCCCAGCTTTTTTTAATTTTATTTTGTTTTCTCCTCTTCATAGTAAAGACAAGTCATCATCTCCATTCCTGTAGACTCTTCAGTGCGACAAGTAACCTTAAGGACATAATATTCAGACTCTTAAAAACTAATAGTGAGTGTGGTAAGATATGAAGGATCTCTAGGGAGTTACAGATGAGTCCACCCACTTGGCATGTTTTTATCAGCTCTTTATATCAGTTATTGCCTAGTTGAATACTGTAACTGTAATCTGATAAGCATTTTAGAAGCTGTTTGGAGCTATGATAGAAAAAATAATTATTTTAGCCCTCCAGTGAGCAAGACACAAGGCAAATATTTTGTGGCAGCAATGTGGCATCTACCTATGGCAGGATTTTAGGGTACTTATTTTGAAGGGAAATAGTTTTCAGAGCTGAATATGAGCTTTTATTGAAATATTTTGAGAAACTCTTCAGTTACATGTTAAAGGGCAAAAGGTGTGTCTCAGTTATCTCTATGAAAGTGTCCTGACAGAGTTTTAAGATCCATTCAGTCTAAAGCATGATGCAGTGCTCAGAAAATTAGAAAGTATCAGTGTTTAGAATGACAGCTTTTGCACCATCCACCATGTAACTGGCTCTTTTGCACAGAGTTGCTACTTTCTAAATGTTCGTTTCCCCACTAGCTTTAATTGTTTTCAATTCTTTGTTCTTGGGTTTTTTTGAATAAGAAAAATTGCTAGCCTGGTTCCAAGTAACTTTTTGAATCTGGATTGTTAGGTAATGGGCTGGACTTATTTAGAGAGTCAGTCTGTTTCAATAAGCTTTCTCTCTTCTAGTTTTTCAGATGTTCCTTCTGAAGAAGTAGAATTAATCGTTCCAACCATACCCTAAGCTATATTAAAAGGTCTTTAGGTAGAAATTTGCTAATTGTGTTTTTCCGTTTTGCTTCAGGCTATTTCTTATGAGAGTAATGGACATACCATACCTCAATTTGGAAGGACCAGACTGTAAGTACCTTATTTTGTTGCGAACTTAGAACCATTCTGACAAATTTCCTGGAGGAGGAGATGTAAAGATGAATTCTTGTATAGCTAAAGCATGGGACATCCGGTGTGTTTAGGTTGTTAGCCTCTTATCAAATGATCTGAATGTTCCTCCTATTTTAAAAAAAAAAATTAAATAGTAAAACTATAACTTCTGCAGCTTGGTCTTTTCTGGCTTAAATGAATCTATGGTAAGTAACTACCAGAGAGAAAAATATATGCTGTAAGGGGATATATTTAATATTTAAATTGGGTGATCAGATCACGGAGCTCTGGCTCTGTGGGCCCCTTGGAATGATTATCTGATTAGGTTGCCTGCTTCTTTCCCAAACTGCTTGATACTGAGTGGAAGAATGGATAAATACTTCGGGTCATTGAGAGGATGCCAAAGCAAGTAGTTACTCAAAATAAAACTTACAAAACTTGCCATGATTTCATCAAGCATTCAGTGTTTCAGTTATGAGTGCTGAGTTATGACTGTATTATTTTTACTGTTGATACATGCATAATGGTTGTTTTGTGAATTTTTTTTAATTAGTATTTTACTACGAACTTGAGTTCATGCTGCAATCTCTTCCTTAGCAGATAGGTGCGTCTGAAATCTGTGTGCTGTTTTTATGACACATTTTGGTTAGGATCTTGAGTTTTAGAGGCCTCTAAGTAACCGTTGTGTTCTGTTGAGTTTATGGAAGGTGTTAAAAATTATTTGGAAATAAAACATCCATTAAAGCTTTGGGCAGAGGTGGAAAGGCTTAAAACCAAAGTGCATAAAAATTTGTTCTGTCTGTTCAGGAAACAGTGTCACTGTTGAAAGCTGCACTTCTCAAGTTGATGGGAAAATGAAGCCTTGCCTATGAAAGGGAGTTGAACCTAGAAATGTACCTGCTTTCGACTAGAAAACACATACCAGGCTGAGGACGCTACCACTTACCGTAGCTACTAGTCATAACTAAATTGTAGTAATTGCTCCTGCTTTGCTGTGTTTACTAAATCAGCAATGCACAAGGCTTTCATCAAAAAACGTTGCAAATTTACATCTTAAATGTGGCAAAAAACCCTGGGAGGTTTGCCCTTCTGTAACGGGGTCAAGGACACACAAGAGTCAGATCTAGTACTAACACGTGGCTGCTGGCCCCATTTTGGACAGCTGTGCTACATGGATGACATTGGTTTTGAGGAGCTCTCCTGTTTCAGTGCCGGGAGTTAAGGAGGTGAGAAATGAGAAAAAAAGAATTCAGGAGGGTGATTCACTAGGAGGGAAGCCAGCCTGTATATCTCTATACCCAAGGCAGGGAGAAGCTTCCTGAGCGTGTTCCCATGTGGTCCAGTTAAAATCTGATCAGGTAAAGCTGTGTGTAGTTAACCCTGAGGTGCTTCTGACAAACTGGAGAGGTAAATTAGAAAGTGGAACACTCCACTTGCATGGTTCAGCCGCTGTCTCACATCAAACGTCAAATGACAAGGGAAGAGCTGTCAATATGTCGTCCATAAAACCAGGAATTTCTGCAGAAACCTGTGGAGTGACTCAGTTAATGATTTGTAAAGAGTTTCATATGAAAATGTAAAATATTTCAGTATCCTGGCACGTGATAGCATGCCACTTGCTTCTTTTTAGCATACGGTGGGAATTCACAGCTCAGGTGTGAAAAGCTCAGGTCTCTGGTGAAAGGAACTGCAGTCGCGTGTGCGTTCTGGTCATTCCTTACGTACAACTGATCTGTACCAGCCGAGCTTTTGGTCAATAGCCTGCCAAAACCAGGTGTGCAGGGGCAGGTGTGTGAAAGTAAGGCAGATGGGTAGTGGTAATTTCTGCCCTACTCTTGCCTTGTCCAGCAGTTGGACTTACATTCTCTCTCTCTAATTCACAAAGCTCAAAATAACTCTCAGTGTACGCTAAAAGTTCCCTTGCACTTTGTTAGACGTTGACCTTTAAATGCTATTTTTTTCTCAGGGTAGTTTTTAATAAAAAAGTCTTTGGTGCAAAGGCTGGGAACGACTGAATCCGTGGGCACTTCCCACTACATGAAAGGCTGTTTCAGTTTCTTGTACAGATGAGCTAGTAGGATTAAGTATGTCTGGTTCGCATTTCTGTTGATGCATGATGAAGTTTCATAGTTTTGGGCCTGTTTAATGTTTTGTTTGTTTGTTTGTTTGTTTTAAAATAAAAACTACATGACCATACTGGATAACTTTTTTCAGGATGTTCTAAAGATAGTAGTTGTGAATCTTATTTTAACAAATGCTGTTTTGTTTTGCAGTGCAGCCAAAACGAGATCATGTTCTTCATGTTACTTTCCCCAAAGAGTGGAAGACCAGTGACCTTTACCAGCTTTTCAGTGCCTTTGGTGAGTGAGGTGCTCTATCATTCCTTATACTTTTACTTTTTTCTCCTCTTTGTCAGTAGCAAGCACCTTTGGTTTTGTTTGTTACTTTTAATGCGTGAATGCAGACTTAATTCTCTTACAGGTAATGCTGAATCACTTTTTGTAATTTTTGAGTCATGTCCTGTGGGCTTTCTTTGTAATGATGCGTTGAATATGTTTGCCCTGCTAAAAAGATTTCTTAAGAGCAGTTGATGTGGCACATACAGCCTTTCCTGGGAGGAGGTAGGAGTTTGTGTAGGTGGGTAAATGGAATGAGGAGTGACGCAAAAGGCAGATCAGGACTTTAGGAGTTGGGTTCATCCTGCAGCCTATGTAAGAGCCACACACTAGCTTAGATGAGTCTAGGCCAGCAAGCAAGCCAGTTTGATTTCAAGATTGTGAACACCGACCAAGTGAGAAGAAACAGCAAAACCCGATGTCTAGTGACTGGGGACCAGTAGTCCTGTTGTTCCTCTTCTAAGTAATCGTATATAAGATAAGGACATGGAGATCCTGACTGGTTGATGGTGATCTCCAGTCGTTACGCTTTGCGTCCCTAAATCAGAACAAGAATGCTCTTTCAAACAGCCCTGTGTTGGATGTTGTTTCCAGGATTTTTATTGCAGATTGGGTTCTAGTGTCTTATTCCTAGGTAAGGTAGTGCTTCTAAAGAGATCCTCTGGGCTTGCAAATAATTGTACGTTGTTCTTCTGGGATACTTTTTTGTTTTCCTGTTCGTTGTTGTGAGTTTTTTCCAAAGAACACTCGATTGGTGTACTGCCGGTGTTTCTAATGTCATGTACCACATTTAATGCCTTACTCAGAGTCTCTAGTGTGGCAAATGATTTCAGGGCATGCCTGAACCTAGCCTCCATTGAAAAATTACTGGGATGGCCACAAGGATGTTTAATCACAGTAAAAGGCTGGAAGTCCCTCGGTGTACTTAGCCTTGTCGCTCCTGTGCTTGCAGAGGGTCACCAGCTGGCTTCTGGAGCAACGCCGACCTGCTCCTCTTTGCCTGGAGTTGTGACCAGGTAGTCTGTGCAGGGTCTCTGGCCCTGTATAAATTCACTCAGTTCTTTCTGACCTTTGCACCTGTATGGCAGCGTGATGCCAGTACGTGCTGGGTAGGATTGGATATTCCTGATTAGGAAATGTAGAATGTGATAATACAGAAAGTTACTGAGAATCTTCCAGAGCTGCCCTTAGAGAGGCAGGAAACAATGCAGTTCAGACATCGGTTCTCTAGGCTTTTAAAGACTCAGCTGTCTAATTTTTCTTTTTTTATCAAGTCCTCCCCGTCAGTGTTGGTGTCAAATGGAAGCAGAGATCGCCGCCGCCAGGGGTCACACGGTACATCTCGGAATGCTACTCAGTTCTGAAATTCCCATTTCTCTCACTTCTCCAGATTTCAGAGGGGAATGGTTTGATACCTGGGATTACAAACTCCTGGTACTTGGGTAGCACTTAACCTGTGTTTTGTTTCATGTCTCATTGCCATGGTACCTCGAAACAAACTGCAGGTTATTCCTTCCAGACTGCTCGGAGAACCCACGCTTTGTCAGTTGTAGCTGGATAGAGAGACAGAGAGTGGTGCAGTGTGAGGTTAAGTGATTTGCCAAAAGCCAAAAAAAAATATGGCAGTAATGGATATGAATTATTCTAATTTTTTACACCAGTGAAACACAAGTATTTTTAGATTAAGATCTTACCTGGATTAAAAATCAGTTGTTAAAATGAATAGCAAAATTAATTTGGCTTTATGGAAAAATTATTTTGAATTTGATTTCGCCTGCTATGAGTTGAAGCAGAGCCATGATCTTCCAGAAGGGTTCTAATGAACGCAGTGAAACAGCTGAAGTGGCCGTCGGGTCCGACTTGGAACTGGTTTCCGTTTGCTGTTCTAGACGGGGTGTTCCTGGTTCTGAAGTCTTCCAGTGCTGCCTGCGTACCGAGTGGGCACCTCGTCCTGCAAGAGGTTTTTGTAGTCTCGTCGGGTGAACGTGGTTTCACTCTACAAGTACTTGCAGTACTGTGCAGTCTGTTCCTCTGAATTCTTAAATTTGTGGCATTTATTTGATCATAGTGATGCGAAATATGAAGGTATCAAAATAGTATTTTCTGGAACAGAGCTTTTGTTTCTAGCCGTCACTTACACTCCATGCCTTTGATGAGCTTTATTTAAAACACGTGCTGTGGAAGTACTAGAAAACTACTATGACTCGGCGTGAGTGGCATCAAACCTTTGCAGTTTGTGAGAGCGTGAGAGTAGTTTTTAAGAGGGATGTGAACGCTGATGTAGCTCATAAAGCCATAGGGATCTTGAAGATTTCTTGAACATTGCTTTTAAAATGTACTCAGTCCTTTCTTTGTTTACATCTTGTTCTGGCAGTCCAAGCTGCCTTGTAGGTGAGTTTTAAGTGACTCTTCAGTTCCATACACTGTAACATCTGTTCCTGTTACCACTCGACTGCAAACTGTTTAACTTTTAAAAAAAAAAAAAAAGGAGCTTGAAGAACGTCCCTTTCAAAGGTTAACAATGTAGTGTAAGGACAACTTCTCGCACACAGTGTATGTATTACATATTCTACTGAGCTGGTGTTCAAATAGCCGTGTGAGCTTAGTGTGTTGGGGTTTTTCCTTTTGAGGGGGTGGGAGGGTTAATCCTGTTCTTCTCTGTGGTTTTCTGGCCTTTCATTCTTCTTTCCATGCCAATGTTTCCTTCAGCTGTTCTTGCTTTCTTTGTACCCTGACTTCGTGCCAGAAAGGTGGAAGCTCTGTTAACCCTTCTCAATTATTCACCAGGAAAATGTCATTTCTGTTTAATACATGCTTCAATCCTTGCTTGCAGAATAAAAGCTTCAACTGTTTTATTGTCTGATGCAGTCAGTGTCCAGAAACTGTTAGCAACTCTCTCATGGTAGTCGGTATGGTCTTTCATTTTTTACTGTAAAAAAATGGAATATATTAATAAACTGGTTTTTTTGTTAAATGAAGGTATATCTGTATAGTACATAGTTCTAACACTTATCCTAAGTCTTTAATTGCCACTAACAGTTGTTTAGGAAATGTGTAAGAACAGAGCCAAAGTGAACAAACCTTCCTGCCCTCTAGCAATCTGTAACGTAGGGACTCGTGAGCTAGAGGTCACACTTGCATTTTTTTAGTTGGAGCCTTTCACAGCTTTCTGGGAGTCAGTCTGAAATCATTCTCTATCCCTTATGTATTCTTGTCATCCACAGCACTTGGTGGCCGTTCACTAACTGCAGTTAAGCATTATGGGAAGAGTTGTGCTTTTAAAACATGCAATGAAATAGTGAATCCCCTCTGTACTTCTTCATACCATTTTGGTTTTCATGTCTTCCCCATAGACGCATGTAGACATCTTCCTTAGAATTTTCTTCTGAAGGCTGAGTCTGAGTTTTATCATAGAATCATCCACCCCCTCTCTGGGCAACCTGTGCCA